AAAATAGTGAAAATTAGTATATTTAATGAATACTCTTTTATTGAAAGTAACTTGTTATATCAACACAATAAATAACACATATTTAAAATTTGCGTTGAATTACTTTAACTTGTAAAATTAGATACTTTAGAAGAATAGATTAATAACATGATATAAAAAAATTAGGAAAACGGTTGACCCTGAAGGCCATCCCTGCAACTTCCCGCTACTTTTGTAATTAAGCGCTCAAAATTGCACTTATTACGTTTTTGAGCTCTTCGAGCTCAAAAATATAATTTTCGTTTGAGCTCTCCGAGCTCAAAAGTCTGAGAGACGTTTAATAAATCACTATTTTTTGAAACCGCAATAACTTTTGAATGAATGAACCGATTTTCACGCAGTTGGCGGCATTCGACGCAGTTTCAAATTCTGAGATACATTTTTAAACACAAATTAATAAGACCGGAAGTTTTGGTGTAATTTGAAAAAAACACTTTTTTAACTTCCTGCTAAGAAAATCGAAAATTTTCAAAATCGGGAAGTTATTGATTTTACCCCGTTTTTCGAAAATCGAGTTTTCATCAGATAATATATTTAATTACTTTCCAAACTTAATAGTTCTTGAACTTTTTCTTAATCATCTTTTAGTAAAGAGCATACTGAATAAAATACGAGTCCGAAATTAATTTCAATGTCGAAAATAAGATATTATTTAATTATATAACATAGTAAGACAGCTAGTTTTACTGCTTTTATATTCAGAAACTTTTATGTGCAAATTTATTGTTATTTTTAAAATCAAATTTTAATCTATTTTTTTAATATAAAAAAATCTTTTAATTTATAAATTTTAGCAATCTTTTAATTTTCATTGGCCTTGCCAAATCTACACACTTTTGATAGTTACGATTTTCACTATAATTTTTTATTAATGAATTCAACACTGAAAAAAAAGTTTTTTCAGTGTACAGAAATAAAAATAATTTAAAAATCAAATACTTTTACAATTCTACATCTTTACAATTCTACATTTTACATTGACCGAATAATTATATGTTTTATTTCCAATTAACATTATTTTGAATAAAATAATAAATTCGAATGATAACTGAAAATTTTCCAATTTCTTCACATGCTTTCAATTTTTATTTTTTCAATTCGTATAATTAAAAATTAATGAATTATTAAAAGTAAAAAAATTTAATCATCCTTCAAAATTTTATCTATATAACGTTAACTGTTGTATATAAAACAATAAACCTTAAACATTTTTAATTCAATGATTAATTTTAAATTGATAAAAAAATTAAAATATTTATGTCACAGAAATTTACTGATATCTTAAGAATTTTTTGACGCATAAAAACCAAATTATTCTGACAAACAATTTCTTATAAAATTACTTAAAAAGAAAACAATGAATAAATTCGAATTTACAACGAATAATTTTTTATAATCAATTATGATAACATAATTGATTACACGAAAGAAAATTATAAAAATTTTAGCTTCATAAACTTTCGATGAAAAAATATTTGTGTTTAATACTTACTTGCGGTCTTTAATATTAAACATTTTTCAGATTTTCCTAATTGCCGTAAAAGATATACTTTATTTTTTGTTGCTTGAGTATATTTTTCGAAATTTTCTATAAACTGAGTTTCTACAATCAATTTTTGATTAGTCGAGAGTATTTCTACTTCAGCAAATTTCCACATATTGATGCGTTCGATGCGATGGTCACCGTAGAAATGAAAAATACCGCCTACGGTTGTATGAAGACCCAACTAACAGAAAAAGTTTGTTGAGTTCGGCTAGTTTAACGTGTGTTTTTGTGTAGGCATGCGTCGCACCACTACCAGCACCGGCGCACGAATATACACGACGTACATCAGCACATTGTCAGCGTGTATGTGAGACATTTATACACCACTACACCGAAAATCATATGTATGCGTACCTAAGAAATACTGGCTGCGTGTATAGACATCCAGCGTTGTTATATGTCTGTATACTATAACAAAATGATGGGCACGATTTTTCGCGGTTCTTTCTAGACGCGTTAAGAGTTTATTTCTTTAAGATTTTATTAATTTTTAATGTTGAATGTTGAAATAAATGATGATGCATATTTCAACACGCAATTTTTCAATTTTATTTAAAAAATCAATTAGTTTCAGAATAATGTTTTTTAGAAACTGTGCTTTTAATTTTCAAATTTTTTCTATGTGCAATTCTTGATTTTAATATTTCCTTTATAACTTTATTTATAATAAAAAAAAAATAATAAATAGTCAGATGTCTTCCGTTTTTATATTCATATTTGTCATTCGTAAAATGTAAGTAATGAACCCTTATATCGAAATCAATTAAAAATCGATAAATATTTATTTCCATTATAAATAAATGTTTATAGTTATTGATACAAGTAAATTTACTTGTTAAATTAATTTAACAAAACTTGTTTCATTGGTATCAGCACCTCATGTCGTGTAGTAAGAATTAATAGTCCGAAGCGCATATATTTGCAGAAAGTGATTTTTTTGATGCCGTTATTAATAAATTCTGTGACGTAATCAAATAAAGTATTTGAATTGTAATAAAATTAACTCAAGTAACGATTGCGCAAGGTATATAGTAATTAATGAAAATAAATATTTTTAATATTATTGGAATCATAATCTTTTTTAAAATACTTTTACATCGGTATGCCTTTAAATTTTTTACAGAGATTTCCAAAAAACTGTCGCCTTGAAGTAATTTACTATATAGGTATATACTACTTGCAGTCTAGACTATATAATCTTTTTATCTATTATACATACACTTAGCCAAAAGATCGACAAATGGGTTTGCATTTTATTTTTTTTTATCTATGTATGTGTGTGTGTGTGAATGTATGTTTGACATATTACTATTGAGTAGTATAAAAGTATCACAGTACAGTCGAGTCGCGTTATGAACCCGGCTTGTTGTCTTTTTCTTTTAACCAGACTCGCGTTAATAAGAGAGAGACACTAAGAGGGCTCATAACGCGACTCGAATGTATAAAATTAAAATAGTAATTATAAAATAGTCTATCATTAATACCGAAAAAATTGTTATATTATCCAAATTCATATTTTTTAGATTTTTTAAAAATTATCAGATTTAATTATTAATTAAAAAAACAGTGTATTAATTTTATACAATTTTTGTTTTTCTTTTATTAATTTTTTGTACGTAAAGTTCGTTATATTTGAAAATGTATCATCCTTCAAAGCAGCAGTATTTATTTTCACAGTACTTGGGCTGTAAATAAAAAAGAACAAGAGAGCGTAAAAGTCAAAATAAATATATTTTGTTGAGGTGATACTTGAGGAGGATAATATTACAAGTTTATCAATTACGATCTCTATCGGTTGATATTTAAATGATAAATATTTAAAAGATTAGTTTTAACGACTAAACTTGCATTTTGTAAGTTACTATTGTTATAAGCTATTGAATTTTTTCATAGGTTGAAGTTTTATTATTAAAAAATAATTGTAGTATTAATTTCGATGATGAAAAAGAATATTTCTGTAAACCTGTATAACAGTTACGATACCAAAAATTTTCATTTGTTTTAAAGAAATACGAGCAGTTTAGTAGGTGCGAATAGACGAGGACTGTTAGGCGGTGGAGGGGAAAACAATTGTTACTTGTTTTCTCCTATTGTATAGATACATCTATATCTATATAGATGTATATAGATATATAGATATATACTTATATAGGTGTATATATTTTAGTGCATTTTGAGAAAGGTTAACATCACCTTAAGTATATATACTTAAGGTGATAGATATATACTTAACATTAGTTGTTGGCAGTTTTTCTTTATCTTTGAATTATAGTATGATAATTATGTTTTGCTATAATTTTTTATCGTAATTTTTCGATTTCTTATGCATTAATTTAAAATTTTTTGCGTTTGAATATTGACATTTAAAGTAGGATAAAATATACAGACCTGACTGTTATTTTCTCAGTCATTCTTGTTAAAATAATAAATTGTTTGAATTATTTAAAAAAAAAAAATACATTATTTACTAAAAAATTTTTAATTTTTATCACTCTTGGATTTTTATGTTTAATTATTCAAAATAGTTAATTTTCCTTAAACTTATTCGTTCCGTATGGTGCCGGCATAAGTCAATCGACTCGTTTTCAAATGCATTTGAAAAATTTTTTCAAAAATTAATGAATTTTTAATACAAAAATTAAATTATATAGATTAATAATAAACTTCCGGGAGGTGGGATTTAAAAAAAAAAATTTCTGCTATTTATGAATATTTTTTGAGATTAAAATGGCTGCAATACTTTTTGAAATATTTACTGAAAGCCTAGCCCGATTTGTTAAAAATATAATTGCAACTATTGTGTGACGCCAAATAAATTAAAACCCAAGCATTACTTGTTGTCTAGACTACATTTCCGTAAGTAGAGTAGATACTATAGGGAAAAATTCGTGGGCCGTAGAGTTCATTTTTGAAACTGGTGGTGGGGATAAGAGAATCATGAGTTCGAAAAAGACGATCATCAGTCAAGCGTCACGCTGCTACTATTTGGCTGTAACAGTTCGCCTATCTCAGTGCATAGTCTATTCATGTTTATATTTTTTTTAATATAATTTGTTTTATTTTCGTAATCATTCTTTACGTCATTTCACTGTACCAAAAGTTACTATAATTGGTAAAATTTTGTAATTTTTGTAAAAAAAAAGAACTATTTTATTTATTTCTGTGTATAAAATGTGGCTGAGGCTATTCGGACACTGTAGCGTGAGTTTTAGCATGGCGTAAAATTCCTAATACTCACGCTAGCCTCACGCTAGACCGCTCACAGTGTCCGAATAGCCTGAACGATAAAATGTACATGAGGTGTATATATTTTAGTGCATTTTGAGAAAGGTTAACATCACCTAAATTTCATGTGAAGTGTAAGATATAAGACGGTTAAATTATATCTGTCTGTGATCATTATCTATTTAGCATCATGCGCCGAGGTCCATACCAAAAATATTTTGATCGTTTTGGCAAGTGTGCAATGCCTCGTTCAACTTTCTACCTTAGAAAAAAACAACGATCTAAGATTGTAAGTATCACTCTTAAAAATAGTAAATAATTCAAATATAATCAACATAATATATAATAAGAAAAATTTAATGTAGAAACAATACACTCAAAAGATAAGAGGCAATCAGGATTTTCAAAACATATAATTTTTTTTGGCATTATTTCAGATTATGTCTTAAACATATCCAAAACTTCAGGTGTATTTTATATACATACATCGAAAGTTTTTTTTCTTTTAATTATCGGAATTTTTTTTTAAATTTATAAATTTAAGTTAATGAAAAATTTATAAAATTAAAAAAAATTGTGACAATATACTTTCAATATTAAATATTTGTTCCAAATTTTTTTTATTTAATGTCTCTCACTAATTTTATAAAATCCTGAATTTTCCAATTTCATAAAAAAATTTATAATTTTTTAAATTTGTTGAGTTGAACTGTTCACTTCACTTTTTTTTTTTTTTTTTTTTTTTTTTAATTTTTATTTTTATGAAATTCTTTTTAATAATATTGATAAATCTAAGTGCGTCAGAAGGATGTTTTTACGTTATTTCAAAAATATTAATTAAAAAAAAAAAGACAATTTTTAATATAGAAGTTGATTTGACATTGAATGATCCATTTATAAGTTAAAAAGATAAATTATGCCTTTTTAAATTTATTGATATATTTAATTCTTATGTGTTATAGAAAGAGAAACATGAAATGGAAAAAACTTTAGTCGCAGAAATGAGAAATCATAATAGCAACAGTCCCAAGTATCATTTGGACATTATTCATGATGCCCAGCAATTAAGTCATGAGCAAAATGTTGAAATTATTGATATAAATTCAAGCACTGATAACACAAATGGCAAAGTATACGGACTTGATTCAAATTTGTGGCTTCGGGATGAATTAGATGAACATGAAACTACTAGACACTCATGGTTTGATGATGATTATAATGAGCAACTTAACGAGGAAGAAGTTTGGTTTGAGGTAATAACCTTTAAATTATATTTTATAAAAGTTAATTAAGAATATTTTATTTTTTATCTTATAACTCTGATGTGTTTAGGCTGAAGAACGCTTGGACGAGCCTTTTTATGAGTCAACTTCGAATGATTTTCATCAGCAGGTATTTTAAAATAATCCAATTAAAACTAAATAAATATTATCTTACTGAACCTAAAAGAACTACTAGAAAAACTATAATTATTCTAACAGTAACATAAAAATTGGAGAGTATAGCAATGAAAATTTTTAATTGAATTTTCCCGAAAAATTTGAAATAAAAATTGTACAGAAACTACTCAAATAATTAATTTGGATCTTTATTTTTTTGATTCAAAAAATTTTTAGTAAAGTGTGATTATTAGAAATTGAAAAATGCATCAACTAAACATCAAAATGCATATATAATTTATATTTCTCTTTTTTTATACATTTATATATATGTATATATATATTTTTTTTTTAATGATTCCAAAAATATTAAGAAACAAAAAAAAACATGAAATTTTTAGATAATCGTTTTTTAAACTTCAATAAGTAATTATGTTTGTAAAAATACACGTTAAAAAAAAATGGAAAAATTAAAATTTCAAACACCAGCCAAGTCCCTCTGGTGTGAAACTGGAAGAAGGACTGTATTTCAGAGTTAACACTGATAAATGAGAATTTTTACATTTTCTGTTATTCACAATTAATTTCTCAATAAAAAAAATAATTAGCTACTGATAGCTTTAAGCTTCCTGTAACTAAAATTACACTCAAAACTGGAATATTTGGTATTTTCAATTATCAGTTATTATTCCCAGATAAAATCTCAGTTAAAACAATGTCAAGTATAATACTTGTAGCAATTTTTATTGGAGGGATCTGTTTTTACTTGAAAAACAGTATTTATTTTCCAATACTCTTGTTTTCGTATAGCAGCCATAATTTTCAAGATAATTTATATCATGAAAGAAAACTTTGATATTTTGCGATTTTATATTTTGTTAAATTTGTAGTAATTAAATCAAACAGTATACAACAATCGATGTATGAAAAACCTTTTTCCCTAAAAAATAGCCTGAAATCAATGAAGAAAAAAAAAAAAAAAAAAAAAAAAAAAAAGTGGATTATAGATGAAAAAGCGTTTGTCTGTAGAGGGTTAATAATCGTTTACTATTAAAGCAATAACACCAATAGATATCTACTGTCATTCTACAATTTTATATTTAGAAGAATCTTCGAGAGAGAAAATAAAAATCAGAACTTTAAACGTCTGGACACACCAATGTTTGCAGAATATTATTAAACAGCTTACTTAAAAGAAAAATATTTTTTTTTTTTAATTATTAAGATAAGAGCTCTTATTTAGCACTAGTACTGGCTCACTATTCGGTTGTGACAAAATAAAACTTTAATAATAAAAACATTTCCAATGATTATAAGGTTATACTGTAAAATTATAAGACAGAAAAATTATTTTTTTTTATTTACCTGATATAAATAATTAATATTTGTATTTGAAAACAATTAGTTATCTATTCCAGTATCGACTCACGGAAAATTGACGGGAACTACTACGTAGTTGTCGATTTTGGAAAATTATCCCAGTACCGAATTTCATAAATGTGCTTGTACGAACTTATTAAAAGTATAAATTTATTTTATTATTTACTAAAAATACTTTCAAAATATGAGCAATCATAATTTTTAATAACTCTTTATTTAAAATAATTTAAATCTCAAACAGAAAAAGCAGAAAAAATTATAATATTGCCTCTAGCACTCCATTCGATTTTTTCGTTCAATATTGCCTCTCTTTTCACTTTATCATTTTTGTAAAAAATTTTCTTGTAAATAATGAATAAATATTATTAATTAATTACTTTACAATTCACGTATAAAAATTTAATGCTGCAACGTGGCCAGTTGGCTCACATTGGGTAAATGCCAATTTACCACCTAAATATTTTTTACGAAAAAGTGTAAATGTATTTCATGTCTAGTCATGCCCAAAAAAAAATTACAAAATGATCTTGGTCAAATAAATTGAGATTTACAAGTAATACAATGTTATTTTATCTACACTTTTTCGTTAGGCTCAACTTTTTGCTGGTAAATATGGAAAAACTTATGGATATATAAGTAAATGTAGGAATATTTTTTGTTCTGACAAGTCCATGAAAGCTACAAAATAATTTCGGTCAAAAATCTGAAATTTATGAAAAAATTAGGTTCCTCATTGTGATTTTTTTCTACTGACCTATTTAAGCTTAACTCTTAGGTGTTAATTATAGAGTAATATATTCTTTACAAAAAGTATCAGACGATTTTTTTCTTAATTAAGCCCAAACAATTTACAAAATAATCTCGGTCAAGAACTTCAACTTTCATAGAAACTGAGGTTCTAAATTATCATTCCATTTGGTTGACTGACTAAAGCTTGACTATTAGCTTGCGATTATAGAAAAAAATATTTTTTACGAAAAAGTGTAAATGTATTTCATGTCTAGTCATGCCCAAAAAAAAATTACAAAATGATCTTGGTCAAATAAATTGAGATTTACAAGTAATACAATGTTATTTTATCTACACTTTTTCGTTAGGCTCAACTTTTTGCTGGTAAATATGGAAAAACTTATGGATATATAAGTAAATGTAGGAATATTTTTTGTTCTGACAAGTCCATGAAAGCTACAAAATAATTTCGGTCAAAAATCTGAAATTTATGAAAAAATTAGGTTCCTCATTGTGATTTTTTTCTACTGACCTATTTAAGCTTAACTCTTAGGTGTTAATTATAGAGTAATATATTCTTTACAAAAAGTATCAGACGATTTTTTTCTTAATTAAGCCCAAACAATTTACAAAATAATCTCGGTCAAGAACTTCAACTTTCATAGAAACTGAGGTTCTAAATTATCATTCCATTTGGTTGACTGACTAAAGCTTGACTATTAGCTTGCGATTATAGAAAAAAATATTTTTTACGAAAAAGTGTAAATGTATTTCATGTCTAGTCATGCCCAAAAAAAAATTACAAAATGATCTTGGTCAAATAAATTGAGATTTACAAGTAATACAATGTTATTTTATCTACACTTTTTCGTTAGGCTCAACTTTTTGCTGGTAAATATGGAAAAACTTATGGATATATAAGTAAATGTAGGAATATTTTTTGTTCTGACAAGTCCATGAAAGCTACAAAATAATTTCGGTCAAAAATCTGAAATTTATGAAAAAATTAGGTTCCTCATTGTGATTTTTTTCTACTGACCTATTTAAGCTTAACTCTTAGGTGTTAATTATAGAGTAATATATTCTTTACAAAAAGTATCAGACGATTTTTTTCTTAATTAAGCCCAAACAATTTACAAAATAATCTCGGTCAAGAACTTCAACTTTCATAGAAACTGAGGTTCTAAATTATCATTCCATTTGGTTGACTGACTAAAGCTTGACTATTAGCTTGCGATTATAGAAAAAAATATTTTTTACGAAAAAGTGTAAATGTATTTCATGTCTAGTCATGCCCAAAAAAAAATTACAAAATGATCTTGGTCAAATAAATTGAGATTTACAAGTAATACAATGTTATTTTATCTACACTTTTTCGTTAGGCTCAACTTTTTGCTGGTAAATATGGAAAAACTTATGGATATATAAGTAAATGTAGGAATATTTTTTGTTCTGACAAGTCCATGAAAGCTACAAAATAATTTCGGTCAAAAATCTGAAATTTATGAAAAAATTAGGTTCCTCATTGTGATTTTTTTCTACTGACCTATTTAAGCTTAACTCTTAGGTGTTAATTATAGAGTAATATATTCTTTACAAAAAGTATCAGACGATTTTTTTCTTAATTAAGCCCAAACAATTTACAAAATAATCTCGGTCAAGAACTTCAACTTTCATAGAAACTGAGGTTCTAAATTATCATTCCATTTGGTTGACTGACTAAAGCTTGACTATTAGCTTGCGATTATAGAAAAAAATATTTTTTACGAAAAAGTGTAAATGTATTTCATGTCTAGTCATGCCCAAAAAAAAATTACAAAATGATCTTGGTCAAATAAATTGAGATTTACAAGTAATACAATGTTATTTTATCTACACTTTTTCGTTAGGCTCAACTTTTTGCTGGTAAATATGGAAAAACTTATGGATATATAAGTAAATGTAGGAATATTTTTTGTTCTGACAAGTCCATGAAAGCTACAAAATAATTTCGGTCAAAAATCTGAAATTTATGAAAAAATTAGGTTCCTCATTGTGATTTTTTTCTACTGACCTATTTAAGCTTAACTCTTAGGTGTTAATTATAGAGTAATATATTCTTTACAAAAAGTATCAGACGATTTTTTTCTTAATTAAGCCCAAACAATTTACAAAATAATCTCGGTCAAGAACTTCAACTTTCATAGAAACTGAGGTTCTAAATTATCATTCCATTTGGTTGACTGACTAAAGCTTGACTATTAGCTTGCGATTATAGAAAAAAATATTTTTTACGAAAAAGTGTAAATGTATTTCATGTCTAGTCATGCCCAAAAAAAAATTACAAAATGATCTTGGTCAAATAAATTGAGATTTACAAGTAATACAATGTTATTTTATCTACACTTTTTCGTTAGGCTCAACTTTTTGCTGGTAAATATGGAAAAACTTATGGATATATAAGTAAATGTAGGAATATTTTTTGTTCTGACAAGTCCATGAAAGCTACAAAATAATTTCGGTCAAAAATCTGAAATTTATGAAAAAATTAGGTTCCTCATTGTGATTTTTTTCTACTGACCTATTTAAGCTTAACTCTTAGGTGTTAATTATAGAGTAATATATTCTTTACAAAAAGTATCAGACGATTTTTTTCTTAATTAAGCCCAAACAATTTACAAAATAATCTCGGTCAAGAACTTCAACTTTCATAGAAACTGAGGTTCTAAATTATCATTCCATTTGGTTGACTGACTAAAGCTTGACTATTAGCTTGCGATTATAGAAAAAAATATTTTTTACGAAAAAGTGTAAATGTATTTCATGTCTAGTCATGCCCAAAAAAAAATTAAAAAATGATCTTGGTCACATAAATTGAGATTTACAAGAAATACAATGTTATTTTATCTACACTTTTTCGTTAGGCTCAACTTTTTGCTGGTAAATATGGAAAAACTTATGGATATATAAGTAAATGTAGGAATATTTTTTGTTCTGACAAGTCCAAGAAAGCTACAAAATAATTTCGGTCAAAAATCTGAAATTTATGAAAAAATTAGGTTCCTCATTGTGATTTTTTTCTACTGACCTATTTAAGCTTAACTCTTAGGTGTTAATTATAGAGTAATATATTCTTTACAAAAAGTATCAGACGATTTTTTTCTTAATTAAGCCCAAACAATTTACAAAATAATCTCGGTCACGAACTTCAACTTTCATAGAAACTGAGGTTCTAAATTATCATTCCATTTGGTTGACTGACTGAAGCTTGACTCTTAGCTAGCGATTATAGAAAAAAATATTTTTTACGAAAAAGTGTAAATGTATTTCATGTCTAGTCATGCCCAAAAAAAAATTACAAATTGATCTTGGTCAAATAAATTGAGATTTACAAGAAATACAATGTTATTTTATCTATACTTTTTCGTTAGGCTCAATTTTTTGCTGGTAAATATGGAAAAAGATTTTCAAGTTTAGATTTTTCCTATAAGAGAAATCTAAAAGGTTTTTTTTTTGCTTAGACAAGCCTAAAACAAGTTACAAATTAATTTCGGATAAAAAACTTGAAATTTACTAAAAAATTAAGTTTTCCATTGTGATTTTTTTCTGCTGACCTATTTAAGCTTTACTCTCAGGTAGTAATTATAGGACAAAGTAATCGTTACAGAAAAGTAGACAAGTTTTTTTTACTTAGACAAGCCCAAAAAATGTTACAAAATGATGTCAATCCAAAACTTGAAATTTACTGAAAAATGAGGTTTTTCATCGTCATTTTTTTCTGCTCACCTATATAAGCTTAACTCTTAGCTGGCGAATATGGAAAAAAATATTCTGTACAGAAAAGTATAAAGTATTTTATGTCTAGTCATGCCCAAAAAGAATTACAAAATGATCTTGGTCAAAAAATTGAAATTTACAAAAAATATAATTTTATTTTTTTTTCTAGAGCTAAGGTTTTTGCTGGTAATAATGGAGAATAATTTTTTCTTCTAAAAAGTATAGAATCATTTTTTAGCACTGACAAGTTCAAAAGAAAATAATGATGTGGCTCAGTCGAGAAATTAGATTGTGTAAGAAATGAAAATTTATTTCGGACTTATTTTCATACAGATACGTGAATGCTTAGATTTTTGTTACGATTTATAAAAAAAAATTTCTTGCTGCAATCAAAGCGATGCAACCTCAGAGTCGCTGAAGTGTCGTCAATTTGGGACATAGGTGTCACATAGATGAAACTCAGGTCTCGCGAAAGTGTTCCATGAGTGGCGGATCGGTGTTGAACCACTTTCTCTTAAGTGTTGATCAAGTGACGCTTGATTGTTGCATCATTATCGCGTAATTGTCGCCCAGGTATTGTAAATATGTCGATTACGTGTCACTCATGTGTCGCTGATATTTCCTTCGTGTATCACTTAGGTGTCGATAAATTGTCGCGTAGGTGTCATTAACGTGTTGCACATTCGTCGCGTAAGTAACACACATGTTGATCTCAATATTAATGATCCACAAGTGTCGCTCAAGTGTCGGAAATGTTTCGCTCAAATGTCGAATAAGTGTCGCTCAAATGTCGTGCTTGTTGCATATGTGTCACTGATGTGTCACGTAAGTGTCGTTCAATGTTAGACATGTGCCACGTAGGCGACGCACAAGTGTCACTTAGGTCGCGTTAGCTTCACTCATGATTCTCATAGGTGTCCTTTAATTGACTCAACCATCGCTAATGTGTTGCTTAGGTGTTGATATGGTGTCCCCCAAGTGTCGCTTATTTGTCGCTTCATTGTGACTCCGGCGTCACCTAATTATCACATGTGTCGCTAAAGTATCTATCAATAATCGCTCAATTGTCACTCAGTTGTAGCTCGAGCTTCACGTAGTTGTCACTTAGGTGTTGATCAAGTGTCGCACTTGCGTCACTTAGATGTCGCTAACGTGTCGCACACCCGTCGTCTAAATAACGCACAGATTGCTTATGTTTCGCTCAAATATCGCACATCTGTCGCTCTAGTGTCGCAAATGTGTCGCTGATGTGTCACGTAAGTGTCGCTTGGGTGTCGCTCAAGTGTTACACATGTGTCGCGTAACTATCGCTTGAGTGTCCAATAGATATTGCTAAAGTGTCGTTCAGGTGTCAGGTATGCATCGCCTAAATATCTCTTGAGTGTCGCATCGGCTCTGTTTAAGTGTCGGGAAAGTATCGCTTACGTGTCGTGTATGTGTCGCCCGAATGTTGCTCTAAATCTATCGGTATTGCACAAGTGTAGCATGGCACTCATGAGTCACTCAAATTTCGTACGGGTTTTGCATGAGTATTGCTCAGGTGTCACGTCTGTGTCGCTCAAGTGTCGCACAGGTATTGCCCAGGTATCACGTAAGTGTCGCCTGTGTCGCACAAGTATTGCTCAGATGTCATATAAGTGTCGCTTAAATGTCGCTCAAATATCGCTTGATTGTCGGATAGGTATAGCTCAAGTGTTACGTGAGTGTCACTGAGGTATCGCTGAAATGTCGCTTTAGTGCCGCATAGGTACCACTCAAATATCGCTCACATGTCGCGTATGAATCGCCTAAATCGCCTAATAAGAAACTATTATCTGCAAAAATTCACATCCGATTTTTTTTATCAAAACTTCTTTATTTTTCCACATTTAGGCGTTTAGGTTATACCACCGCCAGGTTTTAAGATCAAACAGCGGTAAATTTTTAGGTCAACCTGACTTTTTTATCCATTAACTTTTTTTTTTTTTGATTAGTCATCTGATTTTAATTTTATTTTGCTCATAGCTTCAGTCGAGTTCAGAAAACAAAAAAAAATCAATTTTATTTCAACCAATCAGATTATTTATCGTTTGTCTCTTTTTAATAAAAATACCAGATTCCTGGCCCTAAATATAACTAATTTTAGACTGCTCTCTCTCAAAAAAAAAAAAATATTTAATAATTTTTAAAATTTAAAGTTATTTTAATGTTAATTTTTAATTAATATGTTTTTAGTTTTTTTAACAAATATCTTGTTAAAGAAAAAAAGATACTTAATGAATTCGCCTTAAAGCAACTTACAAAAGTTATTAGAGCACATATTTGAAATATTTTTAACGAAAAATTTCTTTTGAAAAAGAAACGAAAATAATTTTTAGTACGTTGATGTCTGCTTTAAGTAGTACAATTCACCGAGTTATTATGATTGCACTACTTGATTAAAAGTTACAAAAAAAAAGTAAATGATACATACATGATTATTAAAAATACGATAAAATGTTAATCAATAAAATAATATCTGATGAAAAATATCTAAATAATAACAATGTAGATTTTAATGCTACAGTGGGTTAGATTATCGCTAATAATAACGACTAGTAATAAGTAAAACAAAATAAGCACTCCAAATACTGCGGTATTAATTACCAAAGTGTTGATCATTAATAATATAGTTAATGACAGCTCAATTAAGTTAAATTATATATAATTTTGTTTACCTGGGGAATGAAGAATTAATCTCAAAAAAAATTTGTTTGTCTCTATATTAAAAAGTAAGTTTAGAGAGCGATAAAAATAAATAGTTTCTTGTGAACCAATCTAATTTTATTAATAACTTTATCGATTTATAATAATTAATACATTAGCAATAACACTTAGTTAATTATAAAAATACATCCCGCATAATCTTTTTATTAATTGATGTAATTTGAAAGAAACTCAATAGACAAGTTGATATATAATAGAATCTGGAATCTAATGATATTTGGAATGACAACGTTGTCATTAGTAGAAACAATATGGTTTTAGTCAGCCAGTAAAAGTTAAGTTTCCTGGTAACAAAATGTTTGTCTTAACATTTGTTCTATTTTTTCTATGTCAATTTTTGTTGACATAGAAAAAATTTGTAATCCATCTTCTGCATTAGGCTTTACTGCAAAAAACATTTTTTTATCATTATAATGACGTTTTCTGTTGAGATTGGTTTTATATCATACGTTTCTACATGTAACTACTCTAATGAAGAATAGTAATTTGAAATGGTTCGAATCATTTTCAAATTATTCTATCGCATCTAATTTGAATTTGATTTAGAAATTCATTTAACATTGGAGTTATAATATAAATGATTTAAATGAATAAGGGTATTTATTTCTCAATTTTATGATGATAATTACCGGTTTTAGCGATGACTTCATCCGAAAGTATTTTTATTGTCTTTGGGATACCGCTTTTAATTTTTTCAGAAGATTTTCTCTTTATCGTCAGATTTTTATCTGTTAAAAAGCAAAAATAATTTTATCTTTCGTTAATATTTAAAATGTGCTCCTAAATTATACGCCCTCATTAAAAATACATGTTGAAAATTATTAAAAAGCAGTCGCTCTAGGTAAGCTGTATATACATGAAAATAAAATTGTAATTATTGATAAGAATTCTAATATCCTCATTTTAATTCATTTCTAAATATATTTTTACCAGAGCGATTTCATATAGAGATTATATCGAATATTGATAAATACTTTGTAATTGAAAATCACTTTTAATTTATATATATAAATTAAAAGTGATTAATTATAATTAATCAACAAGCGTTACCTTCATTTTCCTGGTCACTACTCTCGCTCTCTGTAGATGATTCATCATCACTAGGTACCTCAAAATTATTTTTTCGTTTTTGCAATTCCGTACTCATTTGTTTCAGGTAGAATTTCATTGAAATGGCTCCCTGCTCAAATTTTTCGGCAGCTTCACTCATGAGACTTTTGGAAAATAAGTTTTTCTTATTTCTCCGACTAGGGTCAATTCCGGCTTCAATGGATTTTAGCTTTCTTTCTGATTCCGCCATTTTTTCTAGCAACAAAACTGCAAAAATTATGTTATCATTACATTTTTACAGGTGGTGTCTGCTATTGCGGTTTCTTAAATTAAAAAAAAAATTATAATTAAATAATGACTGCTTAAATATTTGATAGATACAGATAAGTTTACTTCCTACTTGACTGTTTATTTTTAAATTTTTATTTGATAACGACAAATTTGATTTTTTCAGTTATCATTTACTGGACAATTGCAACAAAGATATAGAAAGGTTCCTTCCAATAAATGTAAATAGAGAATCAAACGGAACTAGTTCTTAAAAGTTAAATTTTCGAGCAATGCTAGATAAGATTAACCCAATCTTGAAAATAAATATGTCCTTTGCGCGTGCTGTATTTATAAAATACGTACAAACTTCAAACTTATACGCATACGGATAAGAGTTAAGCGTCTAAGTATGAGACTTAAGCGTATTCGCGTGAAACATTTAATTTTAGTACCTATTCTATACCAAATGTAACTATAATACTGAAAATTATTGCTGACAGCTGACAGACAGACTTTTTTTTCATTGCAACTAAGTATTTATTGATTTCTGATTTGACTCTGGTAATGATAATATATTTATTTATTCTTACCTATCAATTTCCATGGCTTAGGTCGTCTCTGCAAGTGAGAAGCTAACCATGCATGGTATGATTCACAGTAGTTGTTAGTATTTTGTCGTAACTTCCACACTGAAACTTCTTCCGGATCTCGCTTAATCAGCCAGTTTTTGTCATAATAATGTAATATTATTTCAAATTTTTCGGCATACTTTTGTGGTAATGAACACTCCACTAACTCGAATCCTTCCCTCATCTTATTTGCAGGTAAGGTCGCCACTGCTATCAATAATCTTAAGTGATCTCGTGCTACCGAATCATCTTTAATTTGTTTCCACAAACCTGAGTCCTTAGCAGTTTTTTGGATCACCTTTTAAAATAAATATAATATGAATTTAAAATCAAGTAGGTATTTGATTTATGCATTCCGCGCACGCTTTAAGTTTGACCAATAATAAATTTTGCCTCAAAAAACCACTGCATGAGAAAAATTTTAAATATGCTACATTTTATAAAAATTTGTTATAAAGATTGATAACCTGCACATGGTGAAAATAGCATCCTTTAATAACCGCTTTTGGTAGTACATCCTTGACAGCGTTCCTCATGGCTTGTTCGAAATCACACATTACTATTTTATCATAATTTTCAAATTTTTTAAATACTTCTTTGAAAATAGAACGATAAACTGCTTCCGTTCGCCCATACATAAACACCCAAGCAATCGGAAATGCCTAAAATATTCAACAAATATCGAAAACCGAATTAGAAGCACTCATATTCTATTTATCATGCTTATTTTTAAGGGTTTTTTCTGAAGAAAGAGCAACTGAAAAGATTTTAATTTTTAATATGCTTTGATCTACATATAAAGGCAATAAAAAAAATCATTTTTTGTAAAATATTATGTTGCTTTGTTATTATTCTTATCATTTGAATTAAGTGACTCAAAAAAAAAAAAACATGTTTGTTCCTCTTGTTTGGCCCAGATCATAAGTTTTTTTCTATTCAACCGATGGATTAAAATTTAAGTTGGTTATTCTCCACACTTACAGTTCTTCTCGAATTGGAATTATTTATTTTTAGAAAGCAAAGGAAAGAAAATTAACGTAACTTGAAACAAAGAATATTGTAAAGCCAGCACCAGGGATGTGTCGGGTACAATGAAATGCCAAAAATGTAACTTTAATTTAACAAATAGAAGTTATTAATAATATAATTCAACAATTCTTATTTGTTCTTTTTTGAAAAAGTGCCCCTAAAAAGAGACAAAAAATGGCATGAGTTACTTACATTATTTTCGTATAAAGCATGAATTGTGAACAAGCTATGAGTTCGCAGATTTTTCTTTGGAGCTATTAGTGGGAATCTAGAATAAGTAGCATCTATGAATATTTGTTCGCAATCAATAAATTTTTCGGCAAATTTTTCGTTCCACATTAGCAACGAATATTCACTGCCGCTAGCAATCAATTTTGTTGTCAGTTCACCGCCAGGATACTTTAAGCGTTCATTCCATTCCTTTTTTTCCAGCATATTATGAAACTGTACAATTCCTTCTGTAAGTTTTGGCATTATTGGTTCTGATCCTTTCCAATTATACATACTTCTTTCAATTGATTTCAGAGTTACTTCAGTAGCTGCAGTCGGATACCTACAATAAACATTACAAATAAATATTTGAATTTTAAAATGATGCAGTGACAATAGAAGTCATCCAAAGTAAATGACTTAATTAAGGGGTTATATCCAGTTAGAATTTTCAAAAAAAAGTTTTTCTTTTTGCATTTTAGGAATGTACATATATTAAAGTATATTTTGTATTAATTTCAAATTGATCTGTTAAATATTCACAAATAAACGCATATTAGTAAGAAATTTTTAACTGAGTGTAAATCTCTTTAAGAATTTTAAACACATTTTTGTCAAAATTTGTATACAATTTTCTTAGATATATTCTCCCGATATTAATCGAAGAAATAAGATTTTTGAAAATTATTTTGATTTTTTTAGACCACTTAAAGTTGAAAATTTTAATCACAAATTTCAACTTTCTTTTCGGGAAGCTGTTACTTTAACTATTCCTTCGATTAATACCTGCAACTATTTATCCAAGAAATAAATTTTCCGAAATTTTTCATATCTGATAATTCAAACCGGAGATATCATGCTCACTGCTGGATACCTTCTTGTGGAGGACCTTCAGGAGATCGTCCGCAAGAGCAATAGAATCTAATATTTTTAAAATATGTTGAAGTATATGTTGAAATATATGACTGAAGTTAAAAAGTAAATTAATTAATACGTATATTATTTTTTAATACCTTCTAAAAGGAATACCGCGTTCATCTTTATCAGTGTGGTTGCAGTGGTATTGATATCCATTGTGAACAAACGCCATGATTAAAAATAATTAAGAAAAAAATTAAACCGGTTAAATGCAACAATCACACTTGCGAGATTGAACAAACAAAAATCGATGCCCGAGAAACGGTGAACTAGTAAAAAGAAAGTATCAGCCTGAAGATAGATGTTTCAAAAAACAAACGACGATCGGCGTCGGACATTTAAATATAAATTATTATTATTATTACTATATGCACCCGTTTATTCTTTAACGGATGTTAATAAAGAACATTATTAAGATCATTCTGGAGAAAACTGAAAAATGTAAGTTAATGATGTTGTGTAAGTGAAAAGTATAGTAATAATAGAGACACTACTGGAAGAAAAATTTAGTCTAAATTTGTTTGCTTGCCTCAGCCTCGTCCTATCTATTAATTGACATTGCATTGAACAAATATATTTATTGAATCATGAAGGAGTATATATTGTTCCCCAATATTTATAAGAATTTAAAGTTAGTCGAATTCAGTTATAAGATGAAACTACAACGCCTTTAATAAATAGATATGGAAACCCCATAATATTTGTAGAGTTAATAAACTTCAGTAGAAGAAACATGGTAATGTCTGCTGACAGAAATTAAATAACCTGGGACAAAATATCAAAAAGATTATAAATGTCATCATATATAATTTACTAATTGGAAGAAAGAGAAGACTGGAATGTGTCAAATACTCGCGACTGCTTTATCTTTTCTCCTGAACCTCGCATGGAACACTTTCTTTAGACTGACTGCAAAAACTACCCGTTTAAAACTAAACGAGTTTATATCATTCAACTTAATGAAATGTTCGTTGGGCAAAATTTAATGATTGGCAGCAAGGGAAGACTAGAATGTATTAAATATACTCGATTACTAATTACGATGCCTAGACCTTATTCGATACACTGACCTTATACTGTCAGTAACAACTACCCGTCTAAAAACTAACGGGATCATATATTTTACGTAATTATGTACTTCTAAGTTGACCATGGCTTATAGAAAGTCGGAAAAATCTGTGATAAACTAAAAATTCGCGATTGCTATTTCTTCTTGACTAGACCTCGCACAAAATACAACCCTCACGCGGATCACTATGACTCCCGTTTAAACATAAACGTGTTTAAATATTTAAACTTAATTAAGTACTTCATAGTTGATAATTGTTTATTTCAAGCTGGTGAAGTCTGTAAGGAGTTAAAAATTCGCGAATGCTAATTTTGTCGCCTAGACTTCGCTGAAATTACGAACTTTTGGCTGATTGCAAAACCCACCCGTTTAAAAATAAACGGGTTTATATATTTTACTGAAAGTACTTCTCGGTTGACAATTGCTTATTGCATACACTACAAATTCTATAAAGAATGAATAGCTCACGACTATTGTCTCTTTTAGCCTCTTACTTAACTAGGTTGGCACCTCTTGCTTAACTTACGAACTTTACGTAAATAGCTTATACCACCAGTTGAGAAATAAATGGATTCATATAATTTAACCTAAGTTTTTATTTTAGATGCTAAGTGTATGTTGCATGGTGAAGAAGTTTAAAAGGAGTTAAGAATTTCTGACTGCTATTTTTCTCGTGCAGCTCTTGCTAAAAATACAAATTTTCGGCTGATTACACAACCCACCCGTTTGAAAATGAACGGAGATATATTTTAAACTAATAGTTAAAAAAGTATCTTTCATTGAGAATTGTGAATTGCAAGCTGGCAAAATCTGCGAAGAGTCAAACATTTGCGAATGCTAATTTTGTCACCTAGACCTCCTCACCTCAATCGTAAACTTTCGGCCGATTGCAAAAATCACCCGTTTAAAATGAACGGGTTTATATATTTTAACTAAATAAACTAATTTTCATTGACAATTACTAATTGTAAGCTAGCAAAATCGTCAAAAAGCTAAATATTCATAGCTGCTATTTCTTCTAAGCTAGACTTTGTTTACAATTCTACCTTCACGCTGATCACTATTACCACCCGTTTGATGATGAACGGGTTTATATATTTCAACGTCATTATTTTTCAGTGAAAATAAGGCTCATTACCAACTAGCGAAGTCTGCAACGGGTCAAATATTCGCAAATGCTAATTTTGTCACCTAAACCTTACCTTAATTGCAAACTTTCGGCCGTACAAAAATCATCCGTTTATAAGTAAACAGATTCACATATTTTAACATTTAGGATTTTTTAGGTGACAATAGCTTATCGCAAGCCAGCAAAATCTGTACGGAGTTCAAAATTAACAACTGCTCTTATATTTTTAAGCCAGAATTTGGTCAAAATTCTACATGGCGATCGCTAATACCGCCCGTTCGAAAATAAACGGGTTTTTGTATTTCAGCTTAAGTACTTCTGAGCAATGAGTGGCTTATTTCAAGCAAGCGTAATTTTCAAGGAGTCAAAAATGCGCGAAAGTTAATTTCGTTGCCTAAACCGTGCACCAAACGCAAACTTTCGACTGATTGCAAAAGTCACTCGTTAAAAAATAAACGGGTATATAAATTTCTGCCTATGTAAGAACTTTTTAATAAAAAATGGCTTATTCCAAGCTAGAAAAATCTGCAGGGAATATAATATTCAGAAATGCTGATCTCATGGCGAAGACCTGGCCTAAATTACCAACTTTAGGCAGGTAATAAAAAATCACCCATTTAAAAATAATCGGGCTTTTATATTTAACCGGAAAATGTTTTATCATTGACAATGGCTAATTGCAAGCTAGCAAAATTTTGAATTCTCAACTCCTTAAAGTTCATAGCTGCTATTGCTTCTAAGATACTTTGTTTACAATTCTACCCTCACCCTGATCACTATTACTACCCGTTTGAAAATAAACGGGTTTAAATATTTTAACTCATTGTATTTTTTAGTAGAAAAAAGACTCATTACAAACAACCGAAGTCTGCAGCGAGTCTAATATTTGCAAATGCTGATTTCTTCAGCTAGACCTCGCCCTAATTACAAACTTTAAGCTGATCGCTAATACTACCCGTTCAAAGACAAACGGGCTCATTTATTCCGTAATTTAGTATTTCGGTTGACAATATTTTATTGCAAATCAGTAAAACCTGCAAGACCTTGAAAATTTGCGAACACTAATTTTGTCGTTTAGACCTCGCTCAAATTACAGACGTGAGACAAATCGCTAATACTACTCGTTTGAAAATAAACGGGTTTATGTATTCAAACGTAATGAAATACGGATTAACAAATAGCTTATTGCAAGCTAGAAAAAACAGCAAGGAATGAAAAATTCGCGAATTCTAATTTTGTTACCTAAACCCCGAAGAAATTAAGAACTTTCGGCCAATTGCAAAAATCACCCGTTCAGAAAAATGCAAGTTTAAAAAATTTAACCTTTTTTTTTCAGATAACAAGTGTATATTTTCAGCTGGCGAAGTTTAAAAGTAGTTAACAATTTGCGACTGTAACTTCTTGTCGCTTAGCCTTTGCTGAAATTTTGAACTTTTGGCTCAACGCGAATACGACACGTTTTCCAACATCATGAAATACTTTTAAGTAACAAGTTGCCTTTTGCAAGGTAGCAAAATCTGCAAGGAGTTGAAAATTCGCAAATGTTAAATTTGTTACCTAGACCCCGAAGAAATTACGAATAGCTGATTGCAAAGCCCACCCGTTCAAATATAAACGGGTTCATATATTTAGCTTAATAAAGTACTTCTCCATTAACGATAGCTTCTTGCAAACACTGCAAATTCTGTAAAGAATGAATAATTCGCGACTATTATCTTTTCTTGCTTCTCCTAGCTAAAATTACGAACTTCCGTTTAATTGCGAAACCCACCCGTTTAAAAATAAACGGATATATATTTCAGCCTATTTAAATACTACTTATTAAAAAATTGCATAATATATTCTAAGTTACCAAAATCTGCACGGAATATAATAGTCGGGAAAGCTGATCTCATGACCAAGACCTAGCCAAAAAAAATCCGAAAATTCGCAGATGCTGATTTCATTGTTTAGACCTCGCCTAAATTAAGCCTTCGGCTGATTACAAATAAATGGTTACGGAAAATTTGACAAGTAGTCCAGAATAACATATGGCTTACTGCAAGCGAACAAAATTTGCAAGGAGTTAAAAATTCGTGAATGCTAATTTTGTCACCTATACCTCGTTGGAATTACGAACTTTTGGCTAATAGCAAAAATCACCCGTTCAAAAGTAAACGAGTTTATACATTTTAAATGAATTAAATATTTTTTATTGACAATTATTAATTGCTTTATTAATTCATGGCTGCTACTTCTTCTAAGCTATACTTTGATTACAATTCTACCCTCCCGCTCACTATTACCACCCGTTTAAAAATTAACGGGTTTATATATATTTCAACGTCATAAAGTGATTTTTAGTAAGAAAAAAGCTCATTACAAACTAACGGTCTGCAACGAGTAAAATATTCGCAAATGCTGATTTCGTTGCCCAGACTTCGCCCAAATTACGAACTATGCCGATCACTAATACTACCCGTTTGAAAATAAACGGATTCATGTATTCCAACTTATTTTAGTATTTCTCGGCTGACAATCGCTTATTGCAAATGAGCGTAATATTCAAAAAGTTAAAAATTTATAAATGCTTGTTCTGTTACGTAGATATGGCCGGAATTGCGAGCTAGATTGCCAATACCACCCGTTTGAAAAGAAACGGGCTTATTTATTCCAACGTAATTAAGTCTTTTTCAGTTGACAATATCTTATTGCAAATCAGCAAAATCTGCAAGATGTTGAAAATTTGCGAACGCTGATTTTTTCGTTTAGACCTCGCTTTAATTACAGACGTGAGGCAAATGGCTGATACTAACCGTTCGAAAGTAAACGGGCTTATGTTTACTAGTTCAATTATTTACTCCTCAGTAAAAAATGGCTTTTTCTTAGCTAATTGTGCCTGCAAAAAAGTTAAAATTCGCAACTACAATTTTTTTTTTGGCCCGACCAATCTCAAAATATTGACTCTATACAAATTGCTAATACTACCCGTTTG